AAGTAATAAACAAAATGAGTGTCTCGGTTGAGCAAATATTAAAGAAAATCCAGTTTGTTCTTGACAAAATAAAATCTATGACATCTGAAAGTTTCTCTTTGCATAATATAGGGAAACATTATAATTGGATATACAGTTTTTTAAAAGGCTGAAATAATACATGCTAAACAATCTTGTGACAAACCAAACTATATTTTCTTATGAGTGAGTCCTTACAGAGATGCATACTAAAACGTGGTTGAAGCTATGAAGAAACAGGGACGGAACCGAACCTGCCATGTGGGAGACTGACAAGTTGAATGACAGTACAGTTGTTTCTAGCCTGTCTCAGCGTCTGGTTACTAGCTCATTTTTTTTTAAACAGCAAAATACACAAATATGTAACTTTTGCACTTGTTGTTATTAAACATAAAAGAAAAGAGGTGCCAGGGAATATACATTTTCAATAGCAACTGGTATTTTAAAAAATAAAAGCAAATTTCTGTGAGTATTATATTTAAGTAACCAGTGATGAGGTGGCCACATTCACAAAAAATACATAAAAGGATTCCAAAAAAACTTTGCAAAGCAACATCTTTCAATCCATTCATCCCCTGCCTCACTCCCTATTAAAACCAAGGAGTTGAACTCAGGAGTGCCTAAGATTCCGAGGATGGCATTGGCATATTGAATTTAAAAATAAAAGTCTCAAAGGTATTTAAAACACAATTAATATATAGTAGAATCCATATAATGCATTTTAACAACATAGAGCTTGACCACTCAAAATTCTTTTCAAGGAGGTTGTTAGTTATCTCATGGCAAAGAACCACCAAAATTAAAGTTAATTTATGCCCATTCTTTACAAGTGACCCAACTTTGATAACTTTTTCTGTATCTATAAGGGGCTGTCAACAGTGTGCTATATAGAAAATATTTTTGAAAATAATATATTTAACCTGTCCCTGAAAGAAAAGGTGATGTTTTCAACATGACTGAGAACAAGAAACACCAAAGGATCCTAAACCTATGAAAAGATGCTCTTGTTTAAAATTAAAAAGAAAAATACAGCCAACTACATAGAATACCATTTCTCAAATATGTAATTAGAAACAGAGCAAAAGCCTTTCAGCTCCCCTGTTGGGGAGGAAGTGGAGAGACTGATGCTGCACTTTGCAATTGACATTGCTGGTGGGTATGGAAAGCGCACCACTACTGGGAGGGGAATTTGGAAACAGTAAAATAAATACACATTTTCCCTTTGGTGCAGTAACCCCTCTTCTAGAGAGCAGATCTCAGTAATATTCTGACAACAATATGAAAATGTGGGTGCACACAAGTCTATTAGCTGTAGCAATAGTTAGAGTAAAAAAATGAAAACAGCATTTGCCAATAAGGAGAAAGTAAGCTATACCTACACAAAGGAATTTGATAATGCTATATATTTTTAAATGGAAGAAAATATCTATAACAGACTAGGGAGTGATCTTTAAAATATAATACATATATACCTTAGAGCAAAAAAAGCAAGGTGAAGAAAAATGTGCATAATCTACGTTTTACTTAAGAAGGTGATACATCTGTATCATTATTGATATCGTCTATAGTATGTTTAGTGATTTTTAAAATAGGTGATTGTTTTTAATAAAAGTTTACCTTTGGGAGAGAAAAGGAATATTATTTACCTTTATTTATTTATTTATTTATTTATTTATTATTTACTTTTGGGAGAGAAAGATAATGTAGATTAAAGGGTATATTTCTTTGAATATAGCATGTTTTGTAGCTTTAGCTTTGGAATAATGGAAATATTTCACATATTATGAAAACAAAATAAATTTAAAAGCAATGAAAGGCCAGGCACAGTGGCTCACGCCTGTAATCCCAGCACTTTGGGAGGTTGAGGCAGGTGGATCACCTGAGGTCAGGAATTAGAGACAAGCCTGGCTAACATGGCAAAACCCCACCTCTACTAAAAATACAAAAATTAGCAGGGCATGGTGGCATGCACCTGCAGTCCCAGCTACTCGGGAGGCTGAGACAGGAGAATCACTTGAACCCAGGAGGCCAAGGTTGCCGTGAGCTGAGATCATGCCACTGCACTCCAGCCTGGGCAACAGAGCAAGACTCCATCTCAAAAAAATAAAAAATTAAAAAATTAAAAAAAATAAAAGCAATGAGAAATATGTATTCAATTGATGACATAATTATACATTAACTTGTATGAGTTTATATCCCTATAAGGATATACTCTAATGACAAAACAAACTGCAAAAATCTGAACACTGTTTTCAGTAATCATACTTGGGTGATGGTGTTAATATTGTAATACTGATACTATTGTGGGTGCATTCCAAAATAAGGCAAATGAGTAATTTTGTTGGTATCACTCAGTAACAGAATTTTTACCAAGGGTGAAAGAAACAACAGTTGTAACATTGGTGACTTGTCAATGAAAATTTGGTAACACTGGATTTGAACTGAAAATGTTAGTATAACTAATATTGCAGTTTGTACTTAAAACACAAAACAAAACATGTCTCCTAGCTTGTTCCCTTAGGCCTAGAAACAGTAACCAACATGGTGCCAACGAGCACTCCAAGCACCAAGACTTCTAAATACTATTTCCTACTAAAGGGAGCCAGAGCTCCTAAGAAAAATGGCTGATTATAGGTTATTGGGCGAGAATGACAAGAAAGGTCTAGAGCGTCTTGATACACTACAAATCCTGACTAATGGGTACAGGAAGGTTCACTGTAATATTTTTCCTTACATTTGGATGCTTGAAATTCTCTGAAATAAAAAGATACACATTAAAAGGAAATGACTTCAAAATGAACTGATAATTAAAAAGATAGAGCATGAAGACTTGAAAATGTGTGTTTAGAAATGTTTCCATTGTTTGTGGCTTTGTGAAGGAAGAAAGCTAATCAAAACAAAATTGTCACATTAAAAGCAGTACAGAGTTTTCCAATCTGTAAATAATTACTTCACTAGATTTTGAATGCTTTTGTTAAAAATAAAGGCACAATAACTTTCAACAGGTTTTCCTTAACAATATGTTAACATATATTATGCAAATCTTAATTTTAAAAATTCTTGCATTATTGGTAGATATACTTAAAAATGAGTATCATAATTTACAAAGTCAACAAAGCAATTAATTTATTCCATTTGCATCTTTTTATCATTTCAAGGTATGTTTTTAGCTATAATTGACATCAAAACTAAGTCTTGAAATAAATTGAACTTAAAACCTCACCACTGAGTCAAGGTATCCTATAGTTTCAAATTAAGTTTTGAAGAATTAATGAAACATATTTAATCACACTGCAGTCATTTATACATAGAGAGAGACAGGAACTTTTACTTCACTCCAGGTACATAAATAACCTCGAAGTAGATCAATGACCTAAATATTAGAGGTAAGCTATTGGGAGAAAATATGGAAGCAAATCGTCATGATCTTAGATATGGCAATGAAGTCTTATGTTTGACACCAAAAGTATTAGCAACAACAAAAACAGATAAATTACATTTCATCAAAACTAGAAACTTTTGTTCATCAAAGGACGTTATGAAGAAAGTGAAAAGACAACCTACAGAATGGGAGAAATACGTGCATATCCTGTATCTGATAAGGATCCAGTATCCAGAATATATAAAGAACTCTTACAACGCAACAACAAAAACATAACTCAATTTAAAAATGAGCAAAGAAAGGACTTGAACAGATATTCCCATAAAGAAGATATATGAATAGTAAACAACCACATGATAAGAAAATCAACATCACAGTCATGAGAGAAATGAAAATCAAATCCACAATAAGACACCACTTCACCCTTACTAGGATGACTAGTTAGAAACAGTAACAAGTGATGGCAAGGATGTGGAGAAATAGAAACCTGTGACATTGCTACTCTGCTGGTGGCAATATAAAATGGTATGGCAGTTGTGGAACACAGTGACCAGTTCTCCTAAAGGTTAAGCTTCGAATTCTGCTTCTTGGTATATATCCAAGATAAACGAAAGCAAATGTGCATACAGAAACTTATATATGTTTATTAATAATAGCCAAAAAGATGGAAACAACATAAATGCCCATCAGCAGATGAATGGACGCACAAATTGTGGAGTATCCACACGGTGGAATATTATTCAGCCATAAAGAGGAAAGAAATACTCATACATTTTATAACTTGAATAAACCTCAAACACGTTATGCTAAGTGAAATAAGGCAGACATGAAAGGTCACCTATTGTATGATTCTTTTATAGGAAATATCTACAATAGGCAAATCCATGGAGAAAGAAAGTGATTGGTGGTGGCCGGGGCTGGAGCAGGGGGTCAAGGGCAGTGATTACTTGGGTAGGAGGTGTTCAAAGACTTTTGAAGTCAGATAGAGGTAGTGGTTGTGCAACATTGTGAATGCACTAAATGCCACTGAACTGCACACTTCAAAATGGTGAATTGGTGACATGAATTTCACTTCGATTAAAATGTATATATGTAATAACAGTATAGTACAAGTAAAGGGTTCTTTGTAATGTTAAAAGATAAAATATTAAGCAGTTCAGGTTGATCTCATTCTTCTTTCTTTTTCATATATGTTACTTTATATATATATTGGGTATGTGTTCAACATTTTGAGTGACAGAGGCATAGAATTTAAAAATTTGGTAAGATTGCTCTAGTTCTAGGGTAACAAATCTAGAACATGGAGAATGACTCTAACCCACAGAAAAACTTAGTATACCTTGGCTGAATAATATTGATAAACTTAGTCTCAATGCCTTTATGCAAATTATGCATTTTCCAGTTCAACACAATTCCTTCATTCCCCAGAACTTTCATCTCTTGTGATCCAAACATTAATGTTTCATATCCAGCAATGATCAAATTTAAATTTTCAACTCTTCTGCTAGGGTTTACATGTATCTAAGTCAGTTTTAAATCAACAGCTCTTCTTCTGTTCTTCATTGGTATTAGAAATGGAGAGAAAACATGCTAGACTTACCCACACAAGGCAGGGAGTAGCCCAGTTGAGGGTCATGAACAAACTGCCGATCATTGAGTCTTGTCACACAGTATAAGTGGAAACAGTCTAAGCAAATCACGTGGCGGGAGTTGCACTGGAAAACTAGGACGGGGCTCCTGCAGAGAGAAAGGAAGATGTTTCCTCTGGTACCTGTCAGTGTGGAAAGGCAGCATGTGGTTTAGGCCAATTTCTGTAATCCTGGAGGGTTGTGTAGAGCGTGTTCTGTGCAAAGACGGGAGCTGCTAAGCATTAAGCTCATGTATAACAACACTACAGCTTAAAAATTGGAGGCACTCAATGAATTACACAGAACATTGATTCTCCTAATTTTATTTTATTTTTTATGTTAACACGTTTATCAATCTTTTTTTTTTTTTTGAGACGGAGTCTCGCTCTGTCGCCCAGGCTGGAGTGCAGTGGCCGGATCTCAGCTCACTGCAAGCTCCGCCTCCTGGGTTCACACCGTTCTCCTACCTCAGCCTCCTGAGTAGCTGGGACTACAGGCGCCCGCCACCTCGCCCGGCTAGTTTTTTTTGTGTGTATTTTTTAGTAGAGACGGGGTTTCACCGGGTTAGCCAGGATGCTCTCGATCTCCTGACCTTGTGATCCGCCCGTCTCGGCCTCCCAAAGTGCTGGGATTACAGGATTGAGCCACCGCGCCCGGCCACGTTTATCAATCTTTTGATTAAACCTGAGCTAAAATATAATCTCTTTCTGGAAGTCTTCCCTGACTCAGAATTCCCAATTAACCTATCAAATCATCCCATCTGTTTGTATATATTTCTATTGATCCATGATTATATCATAATATTCGTATCTTTTCCTTTCTCATAGACTATGATCTTCTTGAAAGTAGGTCGTATGTTTATTTTGATATTCCCATAGTACCAGGCATTGTAATATTTTAAATGAATGTTTTAAAAATTGAAATCTTTAAAACATTTTAAAGATTTTTTTTCTACAAAGTATTTTAAGGGAATCAAAAAATTTAGGATGTATATAGTGATTTATTAGTAACCCCATAGCTATAATTAGAGAAAATTCAACAGTGAAATAACAGATTTTCAAAATTCTGCTATCCCACTTATTTTAAAGCAATATGTAACACAAAACAAAGAAAATAAAATTCCTTGGTAACTTAATTATAACTATATTATAATAATATGACCTGAATTTCTCCACAATCAAAAGAAAAATTACTATTGCATCAAAGTAAAAATGTTGAACATTTTCTCACATTTTACTGGCAAATAAAAAAGTAGAATTTAGGGATAAAAGGTTATTCAATAGGGATTCTTCTACTGCAAGATTTTGTCCATTGTGCCATCTCAAAACCATCCAAGTATTCAGTTTCTCAAAGTATGGTTATGGGATTACCAATAAATCAATATATGTAAGTCCTAAATTTTTTATTCCCTCAAAATACTTCGTAGAAAAAAATCTTAAAAACCGTGTATTTTTACTGGAAAATGAACCACACAGGTTTATGTCAAACAGGAGACAAGCTCAATATATGAATTTGAAATCAGCCCCGAGGTGATTTTAATAGCAAGAAAGTTATTGGAGTCTATTTAGATAATCCGATTTCTTATGTAATTACAACAAAATACAAAATAAACATGTTCATTCTATACCCAATCCTTAACACCTATAGGAGCTCTTCAAAAGCCCTTTTTCTAGAGAAAGTAATAATAATAATATAAAAGATAATTTCTTAACACCTAAAAGATTTTCAAAACTCTGCTCTCACTTACTTCAAAGCAATATGTAATACAAACAAAGAAAATAAAATTCCTTGGTATTTTAATGCCATGGGTGTGTAAGTAATCAGTCAACTTAATCCGAGCAAGGGCGCACCTAAAGGTACGGCTTCTCCTTTCCCCTCTTGGAACCTATCCAAGTCCTTCATAATGCTTTCCTATTTCTAACCAAAGAGTCACTCGCATACAATGCTCAAGCACACACATACTTTTTTCACTTTGTGACCCTGTGAAGCTGCTGTATTTTGCCTTTTTCTCGCACAGCTGTTATGTGAAAAACATTCTCCATCTTGCTTTCAGCAACATGGTAGACTAAAACATTTATAGACCTCTCAATCTGCTACTAATGCATGGAGAAAATATTAGAACATTTATGAAAATGTGCCTGTATATAACAAAGTTATAAAGAAAGCTTAGAAATGACCCTGTAAAGGAAACACAAAGAAAACATATAGAGCCTAAATGGTCAGCCCATGAACCCCTGCTACAGTGGCCCAGAAAGTCATGGCTGCGTGGTCTGCGGCCATCGGTATAGCTTCTGTGGGCTTTTCCACTCCTGTTAGCAGAGTTCTCTCTCGCATGGGTGGACAACAGCACACATTTACAGTTTCCTCCTTCAGTGTGAATATGATCCCAAATGACTCGTACCATCTAGACAACACACGGAACATCAATTGTCCTACTCTATTAATGACATCCTGCTGTTCGGAGAAGATTAACAAGAAACAAGCACTACATTGGCGGCTGTGGTGTGAAATCAACCCTGTGCAGTGACAGGAGCCATTAGGGACATTAGGGAGAGTTTAGAGGTCCAAGTCTTGGGGCCTGGAAGTACACACCTTCCAATATAAATAGTCCATCTTACCCATCCCGCAACTGGGAGTGAAGCACAGACAGCTGCAGACGCAGTGGGTCCAGAGTTCTGGTTCCCACAGAGTGAAGTGTATCTTCCTAGCGACACAGGAAGAGTCCTGCTGAAAACTAAGCCACAGCTGCACCAGGCCAACTCAACCTCCTTGAACTGAGAATGTCTACCTTGAATAAAAAATAGGAGAAGTGAGCACAGGTAACAGTGGGTTACCAGATAGTAAGCAGTGAAGGGACTAGGGTCTGACACATAGAGGCATGGTCAGCACTGGGAGTGAGGACAGAGACTCATGTAACTCCCTTGAAGAAACGCCACTGCCCAGACGCAGGTGTGGAACGCAACCTGGGAAGCTGGAATGTCGTGTGTGTTTCTGCATGTCCTCTTCAGAAAAGAAAGAAATGTACAAGTTACAGGGCGTCAAAAATGATAAATGAGTCACTCAGGAATTCTGATTGTCTATTACTATCTATAAACAGTCAACTTGGATACACACCTATATACAGATATAGATAAATGATAGATACAGATATCAACAGATGAACATATGTGCTGAAATATATAGATGAAGATACAGAAAAATATACACACTGTTTTATACACACACACACACACGCAGATAATGTTATAAAGATAGTGTATATGTGCATTTCACATAGAATTATCAGTCACCTGGAATTCTTGATATAGTTATGAGCTAAGATTGCTCATCTCTTATTAAGATATTCCTTGTAGTTGTGCAAAGTTAGGTGAGGAATAAACATGATACCAATAAAAAGGTTATTAGATTAATCAGTTGAGAAAAGGAGTAAAAATCTTTTCATGGCTAGAAGGTCTACATCATTAACTTCCTAAATGCTAAATCAAAGAGGAGGGGGAAAGCTAGTGTTTACAGGCACCTACTTCGGGTTAGGTGGCTTGCTAGGAACTTCACAGACTTCCTTTCATTTTATCCTCCTAAAACAAACTGCCCTTCCTCTACTGTCCATCCTGTTCTCTCCGCACATCCATCCCTTCCAGCTGGGAAGGTCCCTGCGTAGCCTAGGATTCTTCTAGCTCCTGTACACCTAGATGCGTGCTCTTTGCCATCTATTCTCACGGTAATGCTCACCTTCATATTCAAAGCCAAATCCCAAAGTTCTAGGTCCAGTTCAAGACTAAAGATCTCCAAGGAACTTTCTCTGGAGCCTAACACCTCACTGCTTCTTCCCTTTTTCTTTACCTTTCTTCCATACTTAATTAAAAAGTTCATCCGTAATGTGCTTCAATACTGGCCTGACTTTTGTTTAAGGTGTTTCATATACTCCTACCTTAGCTATCAACATTAAATGAAAAGTCATGAAATGGTAGAGACCCTACTTGCTTAACCCTTTCATGACCCATGCCTCACCAAATACAGTGTTGAGCACCTGATAGTTTTGTAATCAAGAGTTATTGATTATTTTAGTGGACAAATTTTTGTAGTTTCTCATACTTTTATAATGTCTCTGCTCTCATTCACATGTTGTTCACTAAATTTCTTATTGAACATCTACTTTGACTAAAGTAGGCACTTAGTAAATACATGTGGACTATAGCACCCAGTGAATGGATAAATATCTTATGCTTGGTTTACACAATCACAGGGCATGGTTGAGAGACACAAGATGCCCATGGAACAAGTATTACAAAGAAGTATCTGCAGTCCCCAAACTCTGGGAGCCCGAAAGTTAGGAAAAGAGAGAAGTATTGAGTCAGGATGGATCCGTTAGGGAACCTGAATTGAATTTAAAGAAATGGGAGGATTGATATTTGGTCACTGGAAAGAAATGTTGTTTCTAAGCAGGAAGGAATCACAGACATGCAAGTATGCTAGGAACAGAAGAGCAATCAGGTGGGCTGATCAAAACGATGGGTCAGGAAAAGGGTGGGGAACAAGATGAAAAGGGTTGAGGACAGAGCAGATTCCGGCCAGGGATCAGAGTTGACTCTAGGAGACACACCTAGCATAAGGCCTCTAGACTGTGGGATTCACTGAAGGTTTCTGCTATGGTCTGAATGTTTGTGTCCTCTCAAAATTCACATGTTAAAATCCTTATCTCCAAAGTGATGGTATTAGAACATGGAGTCTTTAGAAAGTGAATGTTGTGAGAGAAGAGCCTTCATGAATAAAATTAGTGCCCTATTAAAGAGACCCTGGAAAGCTCCCACACACGTTCCACCATGTGAGGACACAGTGAGAAGCCACCAACTATGAACCAGGAAGGGGCACTCTCACCAGACACTGGATCTGCCAGTGCTTTGATCTAGGACTTCCCAGCCTCCGGAATGGTGAGAAATGAATTCCTGTTGTTTATAAGCCACCCGTTTATGGGATTTTGTTATAGCAGCCAGAATGGACTAAGAGAGTTTTCAAACATGGGAGGGGTATGATGTTTTAGTAAGTTTAGCTCTGACAAAAGTATGGAGGGAAAGAAGCTGGAAGTAGTGAGAACTACTTGAGGTCATTTTGGTAATTTAGACATGAGTTACTAAGAACTGGACTATGATGTGCAAGTGGCTCTGGGAGTGGAAATGAGAAGAAGAATGGGTGACATTTCAGAGCAGGACCCACCAGGACTTATCCTCTCATGGGTCTTTTGTTCCTCCTGACATTCCTGTGTGCCCTTTGCTCTAACTATCTACATATAAATGTTAATTGATCAATCCAGAGATCATTTTACCCCAATGGGCCAGGTTAAAGAGCAGTAAATTAAAGGTTAAGTAAAGTTCTCAATCACATATAAAAAGACTTATAAATGCTTTTCTTGACATTGCCAAAGAGTTATTTGTAACCAATGATTTATCTGTTTTGATAAAAAGTGACCCTTTTTTTGCAGAATATTTAAGCATAATTGAAGGAGTTTTAGTTACAAATAATGTGGCAAGTCATTCACATACATTAAAAAAGTAGAATATGGTTACACAGTGTTCCAAATATTTAAATTCTTATAAAGTTAGTATTCTAGCATCTACAAAAATAGCACGTGAGTTTTTATGTTTATCTAGTAAAATGTGCAATTTAATCTGCTGTCTACCTTGTTTGTTCTCTCATTTGCCCTCCTTCACACACTCTGGCAAAATCTGTCTGTTTCTCTTTCTCTCCATTTGCCTGATTCTTTCCCATGTGTACATCTTCATTTATACTCATTAACAGAGAGGCTGTGGATGAATTGTGACATATACTGAAAGCAATGTGCCAGATATTTCAAGCTATGTAAAGATGAGGAAGCAAATGTAAGCTCTCAAGGACATATAAATCCAGTAGAGTGGGCAGGAGAGGGAAACAAATAATTATAATACAGGGCAGAATATTTTAAGTGATGTTAGAGAGGTAGGATATATCGCCACGCTCACGCTCTGGGGTAAGCAGCCTTCAAGATGTTCTCCAGTGAGCCCCACCTCCTCTGTAGTTCCTCTCCACATTGAGTGGATTGACCCACGTGCAATAGGAAAAGTGCAGAAATGACCACGTGTGACTTTCAATAGTAGGTCAGAAAAGACACTGCAGCCTCTGTCTGTGCTCTTACAGATCACTAGCTCTGAGGAAAGTGAGCAGCCATGTTGGGAGGACACTCAAGCAGTACTATGGTGAAGTCCATGTAGGAAGAAACTGGGGCCTCCTAACAACAGCCGGTATCTACTTGGCAGCCAGTTGGCAAGCCCTAGGATGACTGAAGCCCTGGCTGACATTTTGACTATAACTGCATGAGATACCCTGAGCAAGAACTATCCAGCTAACCTGCTCCCAAATTCCTGACCTGCTGAAACTGTGAAAGGCAACGTTTATTATTTTCTTCAGCCACTAAGTTATGGGGTACTTTGTGATTCAGCAATATCTAACTAATTCAGGTTCAGAGGAGGAAGAGGTCATATATAGGTTGAAGACCAGAAAAGAATTCATGAATGTAGTGGCATTCGAAAAAAGGGTCAGGATTCCAGTGCATAAAGATGTAAAAAACACCTGAGGTCAAGAGAAAAGAATGGAGTTGTGAAAGCACAGAGCAGAGAAAGAGAATGCTGAGTTATCTAGAGTGGCTGGTTTCTTCATTCTCCCCAGTGGAAAGGAAAGTTATTACATACATATGAAAAGCAGCAGTATCTGAAATGCAATGAAAAGCAGCACAAGTTAAAGTAAAAATATTACGTGCAACATCCTTGAGGAAATAAAAACAAAATTCCCTCACTTGAGGGAGAAAGTCCTGCAATTTAGCTAACACTTGACCCTTGAAAATTCACACATTGTTTCCACTGTTCTTAGTTTGTGCCACAGTAACAAGGAAGTTATGCCCCAGTTAGCAATCTTTCAAAGCTTTCTGAAAACTCCGCACATGGAGAACTGTGACTCCTGGGCAATTAACACAGAATTTGATTAGATAAAAGTCATTAAAAGAGGAAAGCTACACCATTAAAAAACATGAATTTATCTTCTTAACGACTGCCACTTTAAGCCCCTTTTAGTTAGAGATGGCTTATAAACAATGAAGAAATAAATGACTGAAATCTCAGAGACCAAATGCATTTTAATTTCATCTACATTTGGCAAAATTACATACTAACTGCCAAAGTGCACTACTGACAAAGAGGTAACCAGCACAGCGCCTGCCCACAACCATGCCAGAGAGAGCATTTCAGCCCACGTGGGTCGTGGGAGTTCATTATTTGAGTTAGCCAAGTGAGCAATCCCTCGTGGAGAGGTGCCTTCTCCAAGATACTAATTGATAGACTCAACTTTTAGAAATTAAAATAAGCTTCAACAGTTGAATGACCTTCAAAATTCCTTCCAGCAGCCAAGTCTAAAATCCTGAAAGAAGTTCATTTGTCCATTGGCCTGCTTGGAATCAGAGTGCTATTAAGGCACTGGCAGATCCTGAGTCAGCTCACGAACTACCCCTTCTGGTTTTTCTTGCCTCCTCTGCTCTTGTTCTCCCTGTTTCATCCAGTTCACTCTGCTGTATGAAAGAGGGTTTACTTTGGTTCTGTCAGCTTCTTTGCAGAAGTCCCATATTTCAGCATATACAACGTAGCCAAGGTAAAATTCATTTATGTCTATATTTTTGAATCACTTTTATTCAACCATTCTGCCAACACAGTGGACCGGCCACTAGATGCCAGGCACTGTCATGTCACATCCTAAAAAAGTGAACAAGAATGTTGCATCTCTTCAGGAGGTCACAGTCTATAGAGTTGAAGACAAATAATCAATCATTCATAGTGTGGTGGTAAGCACTACCATAAGGATGAATTTAGAGACTACTTAGCCTGTCTCTGGGGTTGGAGGAAGGGCTCCCAAGATAGCTCATGGCTCATCGCATCCAGTCTATATAATGAGAAGAGGCTGAACAAATTAAATGGCTTTCCTGTTTATAAAGGTTTTTTAAACAAAATACTACATAAAGTTGTAGTAAATATGTCACAAAGGATTCTGAAAATATAAATTCTCCATCTCCTTTCCTAAAAGAGTTCCCTTTTCCTCTTAAATTCTCATCCAGTAAGTTGACATCCCATCTGGGGTCTCACATATTGTTAAATTCAAGAGACTTTCTAACCTCGGTGTTTGTTTCCAAGTTGGACTCTGCTGCTGTCTGCCCTCGGCACTCTGCGGACCCTCCTGTCAGGCACGTTCCCTTTCACTCCTGGGCAACAACTTGATTTTGTGCATCTTGTGGCATTGGCTTGTGGCTACCTAGAACTTTTTTATTCAAAAGTTTCCTATCAAATTAATTATATTCCCACTGATAGGTTAACTCATTTTACTTACTATCATGAAAGGAAATAGAAAAGTTTCAAATAACGGCCACTTTTTCTGTTTCAGACATATTCTCTTCAATATATACCTGCTGAGGTTGACAGCCTGCAACACAGGCGCTATAAAAATAATTGAGTAAAGAGTTAGGAGTGGCCACAGTGCAGTGTCCTCTGGAGCAATGGATTAGGTCTCACGAGTGTTGGCAGAGTCTGAATTCTCATGAGTGTCTCTCTGGCCAAGACCTACATCAGCACCCAGGCTGTCTCCATCCCCTCTTCTCTCCCTCAACCCCCTGCCTGATCCCAGCAGCCCACCCCAGCAACACTGTTCTAACGAGGTTTCCGTCCTGACAGTTCTTGACCCCAAAATATGAACCAGTTTTTCAGTGCCTATGTATTAAGGCCTCAGGCTTTTTCTTCTGTCTTTTGGAGCCTCCATAAGCTGGATGTGCCCTGCGAAATGTCTTTCCATCTTTCCCATTCACGAATCCCTCTGTTTCTCTCAAGTCTGTCTCTTTGCTGCTTTTTTCCTTATGCTGCTATCCCTACAGGCAAGACTCCTCCTCTTAGTCCTTATTTCCCCCAAAACTTCAAGGTTCAGCTGAGGCACAACCTCTCCCATATGCTTTTTCAATAAAACTCCAGATAACATTGACGTGCTATTCACTGTCTAATTTCTTGTAATGTTTAAATTTAGAAAGTATTGCTTTTATATTTAACTTAGTAGCTTATTACATGTCATTTGTATTATTGTTTTCTTTCTTTCTTGTTTTGTTTTTTTTGTGTTTTGAGACAGGGTCTCGCTCTGTAGCTCAGGCTGGAGTGCAATGGTATGATCTAGGCTCACTGCAGCCTCTGCCTCACAGGTTCAAGCAATTCTCATGCCTCAGTCTCCCAAGTAGCTGGGACTACAGGCACATGCCACCATGCCCAGCTAACCTTCCTAATTTTGGTAGAGATGGTATAGATGTTGGCCAGGCTAGTCTTGAACTCCTGACCTCAAGTGATCTGCCCACCTCAGCCTCCCAGAGTGCTGGGATTATAGGCATGAGCCACCAAGCCCCGCCTCATTCATATTGTTTTCTACCTGCTTTATGAACCTGCACCAGGTCTCTCCAACCCAAATTCAACACATGCTAATTGGGAGGCTACTATGCACGGGTTCCTGTGCTAGACCTGAGAGGAGGATGCAGCTGTTGCTCTCAGGAAGTCTGTCTGATGATGAGAAAACTCAGTCAGGGACACCTTGGGAAAACTAATAAGAGGCAACTCAGTCCAATGTCGGTCAGGCACAGGATATTTCCTGAAAGAAGGAAAATATAAACTAAGGCTGAGAAAGCAAAAATGAGTTAGCCTGACCAAGAAACTACAGGGAAGTGGAAAAAATGTGTGAAAACACTTCAGATGGAGTAAAATTAGGTAAGATTAGGGAACCATGCTGTGTACAGTATTTTCATACCATCTTCTCAGGCTTTATTAAAGTCCCAAATTCCAGAAATTAAAAATTAGATTAAAATATAATGATAATGCTTCTACAAGTCACATACATAAGTCTGCGTTTTAGGTTTATATAATATCCCAAGTGTGATTGAACTGGGTTCTATTGTTTATGACATTTTGAGCCACTGACAATAAACTGGCTATGCAAAATAGAAATACAAAGCCACGGTTATAAGAGGGAATTAATGTATTATTAATTTTCTCCAGATGATTGCAATCCTGGAAGATACCCATTTGGCTTTAGTCTAATTTATGTATTGTATTTCTAAATATAATTACTGTTGACAGGTTGAACCCACACATAACCCATTAACTTTCCAAAGTGCTAAACTGAAAACATTACAATGTAACAACAGATATTAGAAATAAAAAAATAACTTCTGTTCTTTTTAAAAAGTAAGTTAAAAGCAAGATGTCAGTCCTATTTTGTAGTAATTTGTTAGAATGATTTGGCTTACCTAGCTTTCTTGCTGATGCATTTATACTAGAAAACAGACACTGACATGTAATTGTAAATAGTGGATAAATCATAATGAAAAAATTGTTGCATGTAAAAAGAAAAGAAACTAAAAATTCAAAAGGGTATTTGGCCCATGGGAGAAAAATGCAACTCATAAAAATTTGTCACAATACTTTCCTATCCCCCAATTAGTAGAATTATTTTTTTCAAGGATGCTCAAAATTATGTTTATAATAGTCCAAGTTCTTCAGACTCTAATTTCGGGTCACATTCTATTCAGACTGTCAATATGTATAGCTAAAAAAAGCTGAAGCCAGATTTAACATAAAATAGTTTCTGGGTCATATCATTTGCATAGAGCTGTTATGTGGCACTACTATTTAGCTGTTGGAGATGCCATCTGTAATACATACTAACTCATGCACATATCTTGTCTTTGTTTTTTCCTCTGTGCAAAACAGCTAGAAGCAGATAATGTCCAGATCCACTGCAAAAGCATTCTGCTAAATTGAGAAAGATATGAAGACAGATCTTGTTTGGATAAGAACCCCACTGTGAAATAAATTGTTCTGGTGTATCCCCAAATCTCATGACAGGAAGAATTAATGTGCTAAGAATCAGTCCAGTGGCCATAAATGTTAGAAGCTATTTAACATAAGAAATTATTTCAGACACAGAGTGGTGTTAAAAAGATACATCTTTTGCTGTTGACTCACCAAAACCCTCCACAAACAATTGTGTACTGGTTTTTCATTCATTCTTAAAATGAATGAATGTAATAGTATGCTGGGTCTTTTCTTTCTTTCTTTTCTTTCCTTCCTCCCTTCCCTTCCCTTTCTTTCCTTTCCTTTTCTCTCTCCTCCCTCCCTCCCTCCCTCCCTTCCTTCCTTCCTTCCTTCCTTCCTTGACAGAATCTCACTCTGTCACCCACACTAGAGTGCAGTGGCACCATCTTGGCTCTGCAACCTCCAGCTCACTGCAACCTCTGCCTCCTGGGTTCAAGTGATTCTTGTGCCTCAGCCCCCTGTGTAACCGGGACTATAGGCGCACATCACCACATCTGGCTAATTTTTGTATTTGTAGTAGACGAGGTTTTGCCATGTTGGCCAAGCTGGTCTCAAGCTCCTGACCTTAAGTGATCCACCTGCCTCAGCCTCCCAAACTGCTGCGATTTAAAGGCAAGAGCTACTGTGCCCAGTGGGTCTTTTATTTCTTTTGTTAGAGAAATATTTAAAAATCAGGTTGTCTGAAGTAGAGTGGTTTGAAATGAAGAGCCTGCCTAAAAGATTGTAGACATCTTAAAACAGTTCAACAATGAAAATGTCTCAACATGAGAAGGTACTGTGAAATTTCTAAGGTATCATTAGATGAATTCAGCATTAAAATATTCACATAATATGTTTGTGGCATATAGTAGATAAAATTATTTTCTCAATTTAGTTGTTTTTGCTTGTTCTACATGTGTCCAGAAAAGCACGGTATGCTATCCCAAAGTATTTTCCAAAATATAATAAAAATCAATATGACATAACAGTGCAAATCAAAATGAATTCAGAGCCAGGCACAGTGGCTCACGCCTGTAATCCTAGCACTTTTGGAGGCCAAGGTGGGTGGATCACGAGGTCAGGAGATCAAGACCATTCTGGCTAACATGGTGAAACCCTGTCTCTACTAAAACTAGAAAAAATTAGCTGAGGGTGTGGTGGCACGCACCTGTAGTCCCAGATACTCGGGAGGCTAAGGCAGGAGAATCGCTTGAACTCAGGAGGTGGAGCTTGCAGTGAGCCGAGATTGCACCACTGCACTTCAGCCTGGGTGACAGAGGGAGACTCCTTCTCAAAACAACCAACCAACCAAACCAACCAAACAAAAAAATGAATTCAGGTGCAAACCCAAGATAAAGGAATTCATGCAAAGACATGACTGTCCACCCAGCACATGGGATGCAGTTGGTGGTTGAGGGAGGTTTGTAAAGAGGCCTAGGAGGGTGGTGTGAGCTGGCTGTAGCATCAGCTGGCCTCAGAATCCCATTTCTGTGAAATGAGGACCTGTGACTTGAGCAGGTTAGATCTCTAGAGACCTTCTGGATATAGAGGTATTGTCATCTTCAGTTTACATGATCACAACATTTCTTCTTTATTGAAAGTTTATAGGACTTAATCCTCACTGGAAAGCACATGCAAAGCCTATTCATATTTTAGATTTCAGCTTGCTTGTGTTAATGTGTATGCTGCAAGCAAGGGTGGGAAACCGGAGATTTCTAGAGATTTTACTCCCTGGAAGACTTATGAGAGGGAGATCTTGATGCAGAGTATTCCAGGAAAATCAGAAAAGATGTTTTGGTGTTAAAAACAAAAGAGGCAACAAAATATTAATATATAGCTTTTAGTTTTAAAGCTCCTTTGTTCTTTTTTCAACAAAGTCAGCTGATCACCGGGGCCAGACACACCTACATGGAAGAAGAGCCTGTGCAGACAGAGGGCTGCACGGCCTCCGTGGGTCAGGCGCCCCTCCACTATGCTCGGGGCTCCCCCATACACTGCCCTCGCCCTTTTCACTACAGGTCCCCCGTGTACTCACCCACTGGCTTGAATGTCCGTGTTCTCACCAGACTAGAAGCCAGAAATCTGGGATGTGGCCCTCAGACTGCTTTTGCCAATAAAGTTTTATTGGAAGCCAGTCATTTTACATATTACCCGTGGCATGGCTGCTTTTGTGCCACAAGAGCGGCAATGACTAGCTGTGACAGGTTCTAGATGGGCCACCAAGCCTAAGCTACTTCCTATTTGGCCCTTATCAGGACATGTTTGCTTATTCCTGCTTGAGGCTACTGACTTCATAAACACAGGGCTATCTTTCTGTATTCCCAATGCCTGGCCTGAGGCTGGTGTCAGGAATTCAGCGCTTCAACAATGGCAAGTCAGGACAAAATTTTAAGTAGGGATGCAACACAATGTCATTTACGTTTTAAAAATCACTCTAACTTGATGTAACGAATGGACTGGAGCAGGGCCAAAAGGGAAGGGAGATGCATAGACATGGTGAAAGCCATCCTGGAAAGAAAAGAGTGCCTTGGATCAAGCAGCAGAGAGGGAGAGGCAAGGACAGGTAGACAATATGTTGGGGGCGATCGAGCACTTGAGGTCTCCTGTCGAGCTTTGCTTTCCTACTACCATTTGCAGATTTCTCCCTTTTTAGGAAATCTCAAAATCATGCCCCAACATCCCTGGGATCATGGTTCTAAAAGTCACACCTTTCATATTACTTTAAATGGAAATGAAGCCTTTCTGGTTTTAAGCAAATTAAAAATCTTTGCTTAGAGCCCAAATTCAATGATAATGAGCCTGGTCACAAAATACTATGTTAACACAGCTTTAAAACTATAGCTTCCTTTTAAAAAAAATCCACTGGACTGACTGATCCCCTCTACCATGCCCAGGGCTGGGCACAGCGCAGTGGGCATAGGATGCATGGGCTCTGCTCCTACTGATGACCTGTTGTGGGCAGTGTCTGGCCCATGAAGCCCCGTGAGGCTGTGTGGGACCATAGCTGGTGTCTTCAACAGGGGAGTGACAGCATTGGGGGAGAAAAATGGGAGGTGTCAGATATTTAGGAAGTAAAATTGTCAAGATTCAGAGACTCATTAACCTGAGACAGAAAGGTGACTTCTTTCATCATTTAGTGAATGCTTCTAATGTGCCATGTTTCCTGCTAAGTGCTTTCTCGGTATCACTATTTTAATCTGTCTAATGATCACTGCTTCTGGAGGGCAGGGCCCGCTCCTGCGTTTTCTCTGCAATCTCACTGCCTAATGCTGGGCCGGTACCTAGGAGGGCTCCAAAAATAGTGGTTTAATGAATGCATGCATGGCTCCCCCACCCCTCCTATGACGACAACAGTGAAATCTCTACCATAGAGAAGGACACGGGAAGAATCGGAGGCCACACCCATTGTCCACAGCCCACCGGTGACGGAGCAGGCCCCAGGGCCAGTGCTGCGTGGGCCCCACCCACATTCCTCAATTCCGCATGCCAGGACCCGGCCTCTACGGATGCTGCGGACATTTGCTGACACAGCACAACGACTGGAGGAGCAGCAGGACTAGAAACTGAGTCGTCTTGTTCTAGGCTTGCTGAGTTTGAGATGCCTTTGCGATGTCCCAGCGAAGATGTGCAGGAGTCAGTTTAGTTCACGGTTCTTTCGGGAGAAAGATGGGGCTCTAAAGGGCCTGGGGACCCATCCATGGAGAGATGGCAATTATAGCCATAGGAAACACTGCGATTATCATGTGACTGGTTTGATTATGGGGCTTTAACTTATTCAGCTATAAACATCGAACAGTGTCACGGTTTCTAATACCTGCCTCTGTGCATCTGTCAGACACAGTGGGCAACAACCTAGAGCCCATGACGTTCAGCCACTTCTACCTGTGGCTGCTTTTCAGTGATGAAAATAATCGAATGGGCCTTAGATCGGCCCGTTTTAACCTTCCATCTCATACCGCACAGGAAGCTCTTTCTTCCCCACAGTCAAGACCAGGACCAGCTCCAGCTGCTCCAGATGTGCAGTGCAGGGAAGGCCTGTGCAACGGCACGTGTCCAGGACTGGACACCCCAGGTTTCGGGTGAACAATGGGATGTGATGAAGGGACCCCTCTTTTTCTTCCCTCCCACTGGAATCTGCCTACAAGCAGGTATTTCTGGTTTTCATTCCTTTATTCAACTAATGGTTGTGCTGAGGGTTAAACAACAGGCAAGGCGGAGAAAGTTTCTGCTCAAATGGAACTTGCAGATTCACAAGGAAGGTGACATACACAAACAAGGAATTCGTGCTAAGTGTTACCAAGAGTTGCAGAAATGGGGAGGAGTAGAAAAGACCAAGGAACTGGCTGACCTAAGCTAGTGTCAATCTCAGTGAAGGCTCATTGGAGGAAGAGTCATTCTTCCAACAGCAACCAGAAGATGCTTTCAAAATCAAAGTTACAGCCTCTCACTCCTCTCTGCTCAGTCTCTGCAATGGCTCCCCCTGGTCATTCAGAAAAAGGCCTGAGTCCTAATGATGGCTTTAATCCATCCTCTAAGCCTGCCACACTGCCCCTTCTCTGTTCCTCAGCAACTTCTCTTCTCCCACTCGCTGTGATCCAGGCTCAGTGAACTCTGTGACCCTCCCCACACATGCCCCACATATGCCCCACCATGCCTGGCTCCCAGCCTTTGCTCCAGCTGCTCCTTCTGTGCGAGTGTGCGTCCCCGATGGTCATGGCTCACACCCTGCCCTCCTGCAGCTCTTCCTTCCAATGTCTCCTTTGCAATGAACCCCTCTAACCACCACCTCCTCATGTAACATGGTGGTGACCCCACCCAACATTCCCAATTCCCATGGCCTGTTTTAGTCTTTGTCTCCACAACATCGATCACTTCCTATAGTAGATTTGCCTTGTTATTCCCAATGCCTCAACCCTCCCTGTTCTCCAGCCATTGACCTGACTTTGTCCTTCCTCAGTTAGAAGCTGCATATATTTCCCCATCCAGTTGATGGTGAGCTGAGCCACGTGGCTTTGTAGGGTGGTCGAATATGTCACCCCAAAATAGGCCATTTTGGCATATAGTTACTTTAAGCTAAAGGCCCTTGGAAAAAACAGGTGATGTGAGAAGGGTGTTCTGATTTCCCCTTTTCTATCTGAAAACAGGAGATGAAAACTCTCATGTGAAAGACACCTTCCCTGCAGGAGAAAAACCACTCTTCAATAGGGACTCATAGCGGAATGAATTCTGTACAAACAGCCCTCGTTAAGGTATGCCTTATCTTCCCTTAGCCTCCACACACTTCAGTTACTTTTCCACAATTGCCTCCCCTGGTTCAACCCAACACAAAAGAATGTTGGGTCTGCCACTTCTTTGGGTCTTCATTTTCTAATGAGGGTTCCTATGTCACATAACACTTTTATGAAACTTGCATGCTTTCCTCCTGTTCATCTGTTTCCTGTTTATTTCATGCTCAAGCCCAGTTGGGACTCGGGGTAGAGGAAAAGCTTTGCCTCCCTTGCAACTTCCTTTGCCAATAGGATTGTAGTGGATGTGACATAATCCAGCAGATGGCATGTGCTTGTTTGGTGAGGCCTGCCCTTCTGAATTCCTGCCTTTCATCATGAGAAGAACTGTCCTTGGGTAGCCACTGGTTCAAGGATGATGGGCTCATTGAGCAGACTGGAACCATCTACATCCACTGCCCGAAGCTGGGCCAAGCTCAGTCCAGCCCCAGCTAAACTCAGGTGCAGCAGAGAGGTGTTAGAAGGCTGGACGTAGTGTCAGGTGCCAGTGAGCTGCCAGGTTGCTTAGTACTCAGCCCTAGCTGACCAGTGACCTTCTGTACAGTTACCAATTTATTAGATGCACGACCTATTGTCTGTCTCTTATCACAAGAATGGAAGCTGCATTAGAGTAGAGAGCTTTTCCGCACTGCTGCCTCCTAAGTTCTTGGCACGTGGCAGGTCGGCAACACAGGTGCATTTCATAAAGGAAGCAAAAACCTCAAGTCAGAACCCCCACCAAAGTGAGAAGCAGGAGTTTGTCAGGTTCTGTTTTGCTAAAAGGAATGAATGAAGATGGATCCAAAAAAGGAGGTGGTGTTGCACATGTGCAGAGGTCAGAAGTGGGCCTGCTGGCATCAGATGCATGGGGGGTGGCACAGCCTCCAGGTGACCTGCAGCTGCCACAGCAGGAGGACAAGATGCCTCAGGGACAGGCTTCAATGTCAGTGAAGTCATTATTGGCTGAGCAGCACAAGGGCTCCTTAATAATCATGAATAATGATGAGCGCAGAGTATCTACCTGTCTCCCAGGACACCGAGCCATCTAAATGCAGCCTCAAAACCCAAGAGGAGAGAGGACAATGGGGCCTGAATGAATTTGGGGTAATGCAGCAGCAGAACTTGATCTATGAGGCTCTGGTGATGAGTAACACGGACGCTGATAGGCAGGTACTCAGAGGCTGCCGTCTGTTTTTTAGGTTTCAGAACAGAATCTTTGGGGCAGCTCCACTAACATGCCTCGATGTAGGAGGAAGGCCAGGCTGGTGGCCTTCAGCTCTGGATCCTGCAAGGACATCTGAAATCTGCCTCTGCCATCTGCCTCTGAACTCCTCTCCATCCTCTTTCTTCTCCTACATTGGTGACGTTGGATCCACAAGGAGAAGGAGACGGTAACTTGGAAGGATTGAAGCAAATTCTGGTGTATCGAAGAGATTTGGAGACAAGGTTGACAATTCATAGAGAATAACTCGTATATCTATTTTAATAACACTTAGCTATAAATTAATTGGCAAACTCTGTTGCACCTACACATTGTCCCAACAATGTGTTTTAGAGTTTTGCAACAATAATAACCACAAAACACTGATAAAGTTTCAAACATCTTCCAGCACTTGGAAACAAATTCTAGATTCTATTTTCCCAAGCAATTGCTGTCTTTGAGCTGTGCTATGGCAGAAGGGCCTAATCCAGTATTCAACTTTCCAAGCCTGACATTTTCCACATATGTAAATAGGTCTTTGTGAATTTCTATTAACACTTTTATAGATAAGAAAATTGGACTATTAACTGAGACTACATAACTTGCCAAAGGTGATGGAGTGGTTTGGCATCATTCAGGCTATGAGTTTCAACTCACAAGTCATGAGAATCTAGGTTATCGTATGGCCGCTAAACCACATTTCCACTTTGCCTCCCACTACAAAAGAATGCAAATTGAAAAAATTTAACAGTGGGAGGCTTCTGAATACAGTCATGAATTTTCTGCCTGGGCTACTGAAGAAACAATGTGTCTCAATTCACAGCTGGTATGTTAAAAAATCATCTTCCCCAAATCAATAAATTCCCTCTGTCGCCTCAACTTGAAATTGCCTGTTCTTCCTTCTTCGTGTTTACTCGATGCTTATTTCCATATCGTGTCACAGAAGCAGTGCCTTTTCCAATATCCATCCTTGTAGACCCTATACCCTCATCACAACTGGAAGCGTTCTTCTGGATAAGCATCTGAGGGTGCCATCGAGGTCCCGCTAGGGAGCCCTCCTTCTGTGACCTTCCTGAGTACACACACACACACATGCATGTACACACGCATGTACACACAGAGCTCCCTATTTGTGCTTTCATCTTCTGATGACCAGATCCTGTCTTTACTATTTCCTGTTGCTCTAGTGAGTCTCTTCCAGGGTGCCAGTGCAGGCCCTCTGATGGCCATCACTACCCTCGGCTCCTTTCTGTGCGTTGGTTTGCACTCTTCTGACTTCATTTGCTTCACAATGGGGCAAGGATTCTATTTTCTACAACACAGAAGGATCATCATTTGATGTGCCTGAAGGATCTTTACTGCAGGAGAAACAGTTGTTGATGAAGAGCCGGGGGGAGGGGGTTGAGGGGGGTGGGGTTATGGTATCCATCTCAGCTCCATCTGGAACAGATGCTGTCCCTCCTATTTGCCTCTTGGGTCCACCTGGGCTGGAACAGTCTGAATGCAGCAAGTCCACATACACCTGTGCTGCTTCCACCTGTCAGCAGCTCTGCTTAGCCAGCTTAGCCAAGAGAAAGGCTCTGCTCCTCACTAGGGTTGATGAGTTCTCCACAGAGCAGCCTACTTCCTGACATAGGCCTTCTGGGATGAACTATTGCCCAGAAGCAGATCAGAAAAGAAATTCCATTGCAAATATTGGAGATTCATTTTCTGTCCACTTCAAAATCAAGGCCTCTGATGATCAACGTGATTGGTCATACAAGCGACCATGCCAGTGCCAACCCTACAATACAGTTGCTCACATGTGACCAGGGGCAGGTGTTGTGAGCCCTACAACAGTTGCTCACACGTGACCAGGGAAAGCTAGACACCACAGTAGTGAAGCAGCCTGCCCATCTGCAGCAGAGGGTCCCACAGAGGCTGCTCCTGCTGGAACTGACAGGCCCTGATATCGCACACAGCAACAGCACCACAGTTGTGGCTTCCCTTACACGGGACAGAGCCATGACGTTTTGATCAAAAGCTCCCGCCTCATTTATCCCTCCCCAACTCATACTGAACTCTGGATGGGCAGGTTCCCTCCTTAGCAGCAAAACTTCCCTAGTCAGACTTAGAAGCCTGACTTACCCAGTCTCTCTTGTTTCTTCAACAAGAGAGAGCTCAGACCCTATGTGGCTGTGAAGCACCTCACCAGGTCATCCCTCAAGAAGGCTGGAGGAGGAGAGAGGCGGCTCTCCACTGAGCTGATTCTGGAGGAGCGAGCAGGCTCCACCTCCACCCAGCTCTTATGCTGTAGGACAGAACACTCCAGTGCAGGATGCAAGACAAGACTCATCACTAAGCTGTTGCCTAAATGTCAATTTAGCCTTTACTGAACATCCATCTGGTATCTGAATACGCATTGGGGATCTGGGGAAATTTTGTTTAGAAATAGAAAACACTTCTAGAGGCCATAATCCAGTTGGAGAGATGTTTGATATTAAACTGTAAAGACAGTCACGCAGGATCAATTGAGAACGTGTGAAATTTTTTGCGAATAGTGAGAAATCATCCGAACACTACCTCCATAAAAACCCACCTAATTCCCAATGTACACTCCATCTGAACCCAATGAGGATGGTAGTTACCGATTTCCAAAAAGGTTGTCTTCATTCCTTTGATTTGTGCTATAAGTGTTAAACTTTAAAAATAGTCTAAAGGTACTAAAAGTGATTTCATGTTTTTCTCACTACAATTTTGTGAGGTTTATGTTTAATTAGCCAAGTGTTACACTGAGGATATGAGAACAAGCAATGTTCTGTTGTTGTAAATCCTTCACTTACTAAACCATACGGAGATTTCAGTAAAGAGAGGTGGAGGCAACAGTCACACGTGTGCACACACACAAGAATACACACACATATGCACATGTACAAACACACATGCACACACATACACACATAAACATGTTTATACACAGATGCACACACGCATACAAATACATACATACACAAAGATACACACATGCACACATACACATGCATATACACAAAAACAGGCATACACACACAGAACTACATGGACACACGCACCTGCATATGCACATAAACAGACACATATACACATACATATACGTATTAGTTTGCTAGGGCTGCCATGACAAAATACCACAAACCAGGTGACTAAGAAAACACAAATTGATTTTCTCACAGCTGTGGAGGTAGAAAGTCAAAAACCAAAGGCCACGCTTCATCTGAAACCTTGGGGAGGAGGCTTTCTTGCCTCTTCCTGGCTCCTGGTGTTGCCAGCAATCTTTGACATTCCTTGGCTTGGCGATGCCTCCCTCCAGTCTCTGCTTCTGTGCCCCAGGCGCAGTTCCCCTGTGTCTCCTCACATCAGACTGCCTCTATATGTCTTCCCTCCCCTCCCCTTGTCTCTCCTCCTATAAGGACACCAGTTAGATTTGATTAAGGCCCTACCCTACTCCAGTAAAACCTCATCTTACTTAGATCTTCATAACATCTACAGGGATTCTATTGCCAAATAAACTCCCACTCACAGGCACCAGAGATTAGGGCCCAACATCTCTTTCTGGGAACACAATTCAACCCGCAGCTACACACACCCTCCACATATAAATCATGTTGATTTAGTTGTTAATTAATTGTGCTGAAGTGATATGTCATCTACATTTTCTGTCTGACTTCCTGTATTTTGTGATCTTGAATTTTCCAGAGTAATTGACTTAATCTATTCATTTCTAAGATACAGAATAAGGTATCCCTAACTTTTACCATTGCATAGCTCAGGGAGGACTAGTATAAGTGATGAAGAAAGGAAGATTATTAATATTTTTATCACAGACCTCTCATATTTTCATTATTTAAATGAACACATAATAATCTTCTAAGACTATTAAATCTTCTAATAATATTTAAATTTTCAATTGAAAATATAATTTTTATTCTGCAAAGGACATCGTTGGGTAAGCTGACAAAATTGGAAAGCAGCTGGTAGCTTAGATAAAAGCACTGTATCAATGTTAAATTGACTTGAATAACTACTGTCTTAATGTAAGAGAATGTAAGTTGCTTAACTGAACACTAAAGTATTTATTAGTAAAAGGCCATCATATCTGCAAATTTCTCTTAAATAGTACAGCAAATTGTAATGAATCATGTGTGTGTGTGTTGAAAGACACAGCAAAGGAGATATAGCAAGTAGGGTAAAATATGAACAATAGCTCAACTGCGACAGGTGTTATAAAAGGTGTTCTTAATATTATTTTTGTATCTTATCTATAAATTTGAAATTTTCAATTAAAAACTTAAAGAGATTAAAGTGCATTTTTAATTGCATTAAGAGAGATGAGTATAAGAAACAATAAAATATATTGTCCAATTTTCAAACCATGCTCCTTATCTTGGTGGGAAGGCTTCAAAAAGTTGCCATAGTCATATGACAAATGAAAAGTCATTAAATTTAGTTTACTCCATTATCAACATTGTGATAAAAATCATATTCTGGTATTTTGTTCGGTTCTGTTTTGTTTTGTTTTTCAGACAGGGTCTCACTCTGTTGCTGAGGCTGGAGCATGGTGATGCGATCACAGTTAACTGTAGCCTCAAACTCCTGAGCTCACTCGATCCTCCCATTTCAGCCTCCTGAGTAGTTGGGACCACAGGCATGCACCACGACGCCTGGGTAATTTTTGTATATTTTGTACAGACGGGGTTTCTACCTGTTGCCCAGGCTGGTCTCAAACTCCTGGGCTCAGGTAATCCGCCCACCTCAGTCTCCCAAAGTACTGGGATTATAGGCATAAGCCACAGTGCCTGGTCAGATCATACTCATTTAACTTTAAAGTTGAAAGGATGACACAGATAGAAAATATTTTTTAGTTATAAATACCATATTGAGTGTACTCTTCCCCACACAAGAGCAGCTCTCAAACAGGGAAGAAAAAAAAAAAAAACAAAACAGGGATAACTCAGAAATCCCAAGTCCTGAGAAATTACCACTGTGGGGCTGGGTACTTGAACATAGGAGAAGGGGAGGAGGTGGATTCTGGACTTGCATTTATGGTGACAATGAATCCAAAGTACAATGTCAAGGGTTTAGATAACAATGTTAAGAAAAAGATGTTAGGGAGACATTGGATCAAGAGATACAGGTTTTGGAATTATTGGTTCTGTGTGTGTGGGCTCTAGAAATAAAGTGACAAAAAAAAAAAAAAAAAAAAAAAGCAAATATCTCAGTTGCTTAATTGCTTATTGTCCTGAGTAGCAAACTTTTTTTTTTTTTGAGACGGAGTCTCGCTCTGTCACCCAGGGTGGAGTGCAGTGGTGCGATCTCAGTCCACTGCAAGCTCCATCTCCCGGGTTCAGGCCATTCTCCTGCCTCAGCCTCCCGAGTAGCTGGGACTACAGGCGCCCGCCACCACGCCTGGCTAGTTTTTTGTATTTTTTAGTAGAGACGGAGTTTCACCTTGTTAGCCAGGATAGTGTCGGCCTCCCAAAGTGCTGGGATTACAGGCTTGAGCCACCGCACCCGGCCGCAAACTTTTTTCTTAAGGGAAATATCTATTTTTTGGATTTAACATTATTTAACACGTAAGTCACCTTATTCACTCATCAATTTTTGAAAACTAAAAATATAAAACGTTCCATTTTGGTGAAAAAATTTTAATTTTCTACATTGACAATAAATTTTTCCTCGACAAATGCACTTAGGGCACCCTTCACACTGAAAAAATACGAGAGACAAGTCCCATATCATCAACAGAATGGAAGAATGTAGGTGATGAAGGATACCACCTGAGACTCGACATTTCTGTTAAACTGGCTTCAATTATTAAGTAGCTAATCTAAACAGGTGCATCTGTTTCTACTCTACAGCAATGTGGAATTCTTTCAATCCCTTAGGATGTGTTTTTAATAATAAATTTTAAAAAATGTGTTTTATAACATAACAAACTTTATAATGAGTATTCACACTCATACATACGTAGTATTATGGGTTGAACTGTGCCCCCTTAAAATTCATGTCCGAACCCCTAGTGCCTCCGAATGTGATTGCAGTCAAAGATGGGGCCTTCGAAGAGTTAATTAAGATTGAATGAGGTCAGATATGTGGACCTTAATCCAACATGACTGGAGTCCTTACAAGAAGCAGAGTTATGACACAGACATGTACAGAGGGAGGTCCATCTGGAGATACAGGGAGAAGACAGCCATCTGCAAGCCAGGGAGAGAGGCCTCAGAAGAAACCAACCTTTTCAACACCTTGACCTTGGGCTTCTGGTCTGTGAGGAAATACATTTCTGTTACTTAAGCCACCTGGTCTGTAGTAGGCAGCCTGATCAAACTAATATACATATATATTTTAGCTTTGTCTAAGAAAACTCTTGAATATGACAGACTGGAATTCTAGACTGATAATAAATTCCTGTGTGACCTCCTTAAAATTTAGAGATAAGAGGAGGTCCTAGACAACGTCTAACATTTCGTCATTTTATATCCATATACAAAAGCTTTTTTTCTGAAATAGAAAGCATCACACCTTTGTTGGGAAACTGACATTCCCTTGGATCAAGATATAGCTGCTAACTGTAGGAGTAAGTGACTACTATGTAACAGTCATTCAAATGAAAATACCTACTCTAAAAATGATTATTTGCAACATTCGTGTATTTACTTCTTAATTTATTAGACAAGTAATTATTAAGCATATGGCATATACCTTATGCTAGGCATTAGAAAAATCAAAAAATAAAATACAGTCATTACCCTTAGGATTCTAATTCAAATTCAACACGATGTATGCTATAGCAGAGACATAAATATAGCTAAGGTGGTATCTAACTTTACCTGGGGAACTTGAGGAAGGCTTCCCAGAGGAGGAAAGTCTTTGGAGCTGTATCTTTAAAGATGGGCAGGGGTTCTTCTGATGGGGAAGAGGGACAAAGGGTACTCTAGGCAGAGGGAAGACTATCTGGTAAAATGGTAGTTCTCACACTGATCTGTAGATTCGAAACGATCCCTTTTGAAATATCATCAAAGATTTTAAAGAACTAGACAAAGTAACTCTAAAATTTATATGGAAATATAATGCTTTATATTAGCCACAGCAATTCTGAAAAATGAAACAAAATCTCAGGCCTTAAACTTCCTGATTTCAGGACTTGCTATAATGCAGCACATAAGCCAATAAACTAGGCCAATCAATTGTCAGAAAGAAAGTTGTACTGGGTTTTATTAATGATTCCAAGTAGTAATTGTCCTTTAGTTTCTCAAAAAAAAATTTTTTTTGTTTAATTTTCTAGTTAACCTGTAAAATGAAAGACAGTTTTAGACATCATCATACACAGTTACAGAAATCAAGCCAGTGTGGTATTGGTATAAGGATGGATAAATAGATCAATAGAACAGAAGAGAGAGTCTAACAAAGGTGCCAAGGTAGCTCACTGGGAGAGGGCTGGTCATTTCAATATATGGGGCTTGGACAAGAGGAGAAACATATGCACAATAACAACAGTAACATAACCATTGTCCCTTACATCACACCAAACACAAAGATTAACAAGAAATTGACCAAGGATCTAAATGAAAGAGTTATCACTTTAAATCTTCTAGAACGGGCTGGGCACAGTGGTTCACACCTGTAATCCCAGCACTTTGGGAGGCCAAGGTGGGTGGACCACTTGAGGTCAGGAGTTCAAGACCAGCCTGGCCAACACAGTGAAACTCCATCTCTACTAAAAATACAAAAATTAGCCAGGTGTGGTAGCATGTACCTGTAGTCCCAGCTACTCAGGAGGCGGAGGCAGGGGTATTGCTTGAACCTGGGAGGCGGAGGTTGTAGTGAGTTGAGATCCTGTCATTGTACTCCAGCCTGGATGACAGAGCAAGACTCTGTCTCAAAAATAAATAAATAAATAAAAATTTAAAAATCTAGAAGAAAAAATGTAACAGATATTTTCTTTGTAACCTTGAGCAAGACAACAATTTCTAGATAAGATACACCAAAAAATGAACAGTGAAAGCAAAAAATCCATATATTGGACGTCATCAAAATTAAAATTAAAATATTGAAGCCAGGCATGGTAGTTCACACCTACGATCCCAGTGCTTTGGGAAGCTGAGACGGGAGGACTGCTTGAGCCCAGGAGATTGAGGCCAGCCTGGGCAACACAGGGAGACCCTGTCTCTAAAAAAAATAAAAATAAAAATAATTACTCAGGTGTGGTGGTGTTTGCCTGTAGTCTCAGCTACTCAGGAGGCTAAGGTTGGGGTGGGAGTCCCTTGAGGCCAGAAGTTTGAGGCTGCAGATTATGCTACTGTACTCCAGCTTGGGCAACAGAGTAAGAGTCTGTTTCCAAAAGAAAAGGAAGAAAAGGTTGAAAGGGGAAGAAAAGGTTGAAAGGCATCATAAAGAAGATGAAAAGGCAACCTTCAGAGTGGCAGAAAATACATACAAATCATCTATCTGAGAAAGGACCTATGTTGAGAGTATACATAAAAACATCTTACAGTTTGGTATTAAGAAAACCACCAACAACCCAATAAAAATGGAAAAAGATTTGAATACATGCCGCCGTAAAGAAGATACCGGAATGTCAAATATGCACGTGAAAAGATGGTGCATATCATTACACGCCAGAGAAATGCAAATTAAAACAATGTAAGATGTTATCAGGCACTTACTAAAATATCCAAAATTAAAAAGACTGACAATACCAAGTGTTGGCAAGGATATGGAGAAACGAAAGCCCTTAAATATTATTGTGGAGCTACTTTAAAATGCTTTAAAAATAATTCGGCAGTTTCTTTAAAACTGTAAAGTTTCTTTAAAAATTGAATGTATGCTACCATAGAGTTTGGCAATTCCACAAAGTCTGCTCCCAAGAGGAGTGAAAACATACGTATACACAAAGGCATTCACACGAATGGTCACAGCAGCATTATTTATGATAGTCAAAAGTAATGAAAGAATTAGAATAAAACCTGAATAGGACATGGAACCAGAAGTTTTCAGGCAGGAAGTAACAAAGTGAGGCTTGTTTATTCAAAAGATAAATCAGACGTGGAAGCTGGACTGAAGCAGGTGAGAGACTCGTAACAGGAAGACCAGATGCTGAACCTCCTTGGATGGGTTCTATTTTAACTGACAGGAAGACAGTTGGATTTCCTAAAGGAGATGCTTAGCTTATGGGAGGAAGTGCAGTGGAAAGGACATGAACTTCTCATCATTCTGGTTCAGCATCCCAGGTGCGCACCTGAGCATGTGAGTCCCCCTTTGCCCAATCTCCAGTCTCAGGCACCTCACCCACCACAGGAGAGGATGTCCTCAGCCTCACAGGGCTGCAGGGGGGTGGTGTGTTATCTGTTGACAGCTTCTGGCTGACTGCCTGCCACATGGCTGCGACTCGGGGTAGCTGAGTTTCCTTTTGCTTCTCTTCTAGCTTCTTATCCAAGGAAATGGAAAAGACCTGTTTGGCCTTCCATAATCAGTAAGGTAAATTCATCCATCTGCAGAGAAAAATATACAGGAAGCCTACAGTGCACATTTTCTCTCTGCCCCCAACCCCTATGCCCATGCCGCATCGCCATGACGACTCTCTGCCCTGCCAGGCTTGCTCTGCATCCCAGGAAGTTGGGCCCTTGGGGCCATACACACAAGGCTCCCAATCTCTGGTTGCCAGCTGCCACCCAGCTCTGGGTCACATTTTCTGACAGTGGCTTCAACCCTCCCTGCTACAGATCCTCTTGGACATCCTCTTCCTCTCCGCCATGGCTCCTGGAGCTACAGCAGTGCTAAGCAGGCCACTCACTTCTTAAAGTCTGGGGTCCTGATGGAACTGGCAGTTTCTGGGTTCCTCACTACCACTGCCCACATTTCTGCAAATTCATCTTTGTCATTAAAACATCTAGAATTACTTGGACTGATTCTGTTTAATACTCAGACACCAATTCAAAGGGTCTAAAACACGTAAAATGGACAGAGGTCACGCAAATATATCCAAATAAAAGAGGATCCTTTTATCTTATGCTCAGGGCCTTGCTGACAGAAGGCAGCATCTTTGGTGATGTGATGTTTTTTCTTCTCCAGGGGCAAACATCCAAGGAGCACAAACTGCCAGTCCCTGGTCGTAGTGAGCCACGTTGGCTACCCCACTTTCTATTCTTATTCAAGCATTGTGCTGTGACTGTATTAATATTGTGCTGTTTCCATCCCTGTTAAAATATTCTTCATAGTGACAAAGAACTCACATAAATGCCCAGACTGACTTGACGGTGCCACTTGAAGCATAACTCTTGCAAATCAAACATGCTGTGGCCAAAGAAGTTTCCAAAGAGACACAGTATATTAGTTCATTCTCATGTTGCTAATAAAGATGCACAATTTCACACAGGTAGGGAGGCCTCACAATCATAGCAGAAGGCGAAAGAGGAGCAAAAGCATGTCTTACATGGCAGCAGATAAGAGAGTGTGTGCAGGGGAACTGACCTTTTGTTTTTTTATTTTTTTTTTTTTTTTTTAAGATGGAGTTTTGCTCTTATTGCCTTGGCTGCAGTGCAGTTGCCTGATCTCAGTTGACCACAACTTCCACCTCCTGGGTTGAAGTGATTCTCCTGCTTCAGCCTCCTGAGTAGCTGGGATTACAGGTGTGCGCCACCACGCCTGGCTAATTTTGTATTTTTGGTAGAGACAGGGTTTCTCCACGTTGGTGAGGCTGGTCTTGAACTCCTGACCTCAGGTGATCTACCCACCTTGACCTCCCAAAGTGCTGGGATTACAGGCGTGAGTCACCGTGCCCAGCCAGGAACTGCCTTTCATAAAACTATCAGGTCTCATGAGACTTATTATCAGGAGAACAGCACAGGAAAGACCCACCGCTATGATTCAGTTACCTCCCACAGGGTGCCTCCCATGACACATGGGAATGCTGAGAGCTACAATTCAAGATGCAGTTGGGTGGGGACACGACCAAACCATGTCACCCAGTTTCTTCTCTAAAAATGACATCATTT